ATGGTCTTACGGGGCCCGCTGCTGACAGAGGGATTCTATTTCCCTTCCTTGGTGACCATATTGTGCTTGATGAGAAACACCCATACCAACCCTGCTGATGGCAATTTGCCTCCCAAAGCAGCTTTCAAAGCTTCTAGCATCAGAGTGGGCAGGGGCACCCGCACTACAATTGAGATTGATGATGAGGAGGATGATCCGGTCCCGGTTGCACCGTCCAGGAGGTCTGTTGACAGTGCCGGGCCCTCTCGGTGCCCCTATTCTGGAGCAGACCTATCCCGCTCACAGTCCTCCCGGCCTATGCTGCGTTCCTTGGAGGAAGAGGTCGCGGATCTCCGCACCTCGGTGGATGGTCTACACACACGGATGGACGCCATGTCACAGAGGCAGGCTAGATCTGAGAGCCGATTTATGGCTTGGCTATGCGCATTGGGGAGGGCCTGCCATGTAGACCCCAGCACCATCTCCGACTCGGATTGAGTCTCAGGGAAGTCTTCTCACCCTTCTGCTCTTTACTTTATTGATATGACATGGGAACATGCCATGATTTTAAGTGTGGGGTGGGAGACTTGCTCTAACTGTGTATTGTAATGTATATAGATGTTGTGTGCTGTAGTATTAGATATGTTGTATATATGTGACTGTGTTATATTAGGAATAGCTGACTTGGCCCAACGACAGACACTTGTTGACGGGTCTCTTGAGGGTCAAAGTCAGATATAAAAAAAAAAAATTGTAGAGGACTCTTCCTGATGAAGGACTATGTGGACAGTACTCTTGAGGGAAGTAGTCCATGTAGAATTTTTTTTTTAATTTTATTTTCTTCTTTTAGGTAGTGTAGTACCTCCCCCTTGGTTTTTCTTTTGACCACGGTTCTTTTCCAAGGGTTTTTCTTGAACTGGGTTAGGTAGATTTTTCTTTTATAGTGTTAGGATTAGATGGGTGAAGGTCAGAATGTAACCCCAAATGTGCACAGTTGCAAAGAAAAGAACTTGAGAGTGAACGTCTAAGCTTGTTTGTGGACTCATAATATATGCCTTAATTTTGCACATCTTGTCTGGCTTGAACACTCGTATGACTGTGTTGATGAACTGATTCGGAAAGAGTTACATGCTAAGTGTGTATGAGTTGTTACTTGCATCCTATGATTGCATATGATACCTAGAACTTGCCCTGTGTGTTTGCAAAGCGAAATAGAAGTCGTTTAATTTTAGAGATGATTGAGACATTTCTTTGTGCAACCCTTTATACTTGAGAATCCACCTGTGCATATTACCATAGTTAACCCCTTTGAGCCTGAAGCCTGTTCTTTGATAACCCTATAATAATCTAAATCGTTGTGTTTGAATAAGCTCATTGTTTGAACCTTACCTCCTAGAAGCACTTAATCACTAAAGAATATACAGAAGTCAAAGTGTGGGGTGGGAGAGAACTAGAAAAAAAAAAGAAAAAAGAAAAGGGGAATCAAGAATGAAGGTTCTGGTTGGTGAAATGGCAGTGTACAATAAATCTGAAAAAAAAGAAGAGAAAAAAAAAAGCCAGTTGTACCTAAAGAAAAGTGGGGGTCACAAGTGAAACAAAATGTGGAGTAATGATTGGGTTGAACATAAAGGTGAAATAAAAGGAAATGTGTATTAAAAGTGCTTAGGGAGGTTAGTCACTATATCCAAATATATCCTACCCGTCCCTTAGCCTACATTACAACCTTTAAAGACCTCTTGATCTTTGACTGAATGGCTCGATTAGTGGAGTATTACACTAGGGACAAGCTTATGGTGTGTCTATGTGGCATGTGAATGCTCTTTGCTGAGAGTGAGTGAATTCTTTATATATATGGTTCACTAGTTGTTGAATTTTATGTGTGTGGAACTTCTCTCAAATTTTGTTTATGTGAGGGCATGTGACTCAGAAAGAAAAAGTGAGTCTTCACTTCTGTTAGAGTAATTAGAGTTAGCACAAGTGTGTCTGGGTATGAGAGTCTGCATCTAAGATATGATTGTGCACCGCTTAGGTCAATCTTTGATAATAGCAGGTGTAACATAAATTGGGGCAATGCATTGAGCAGTTAGGCCTAGAAGTGTGGTTTAGTTGCTCGAGGACGAGCAAAGATTTAAGTGTGGGGTGTTGATAATAGGTGAATTTGACTATAATCACACCTTAAATAATCACCTTCTTGTGTAGTTTTAATGCTAAAAGTGATGACAAAATGCTCTTATTAGTGCTTTTCATGATTTGTAGGTGATATATGTATAAGGAAGGCTAAGGAGCAGTTTTGGAGTTAAAAGTGATGAAAAAGAGGCCAACTGTGAAATTTCCCAAGTGAACCAGGCAAAACAGGCCGAGGAATTCAGAGTACTGGATCCACCGCGGTTCCACCGCGACCGCGGCAGAACCGCGGTGGGAAGCAGCTGCAGAAGATGTGAGAATCCGCGAGGGGTTTGGCCGCGGTTCTACCGCGTCAGGCGCAGAAACTTCGGGGACCAAAGTGTCAATTACGGGATTTTTAGACCTAAAACCTATTTAAAACATTAGACTTCGCCCAAGAGAGGCATGTATTGATTTTTTAGGTTTCTTAGCAAGGAAAACCATTGTGAGAAAAGACTCTAAACATCTTTCTTTTTTTCTTTTGATTTTTATGATGAATTCAATCTTAGTTTATTTTCCCATAGCCATGAGTAGCTAAATTCCTTGTCTAAGGCTTTGATGGAACCTATTGGGTGATGAACTTCTTGTTTATGTGAATACAAATTGCTAGTTTAATCTTTATTTGTTCAACTTCGTGTTCGTTGTAGTTAATTGACAGGATCCTCAATTAGTTGTGCCTATTTAGTGTGCATAACTTGGAAAAGAGTGCATATTTAGGGTATTGTTGAACAACACCACTCCTAGATTATTAGAGGAATCTATGATTGCGGGTTTAAAGGCAGGATTAGGGATAACGAAGCCTTGGGTGCAATCTAAAGTGAATTGTGCTAAATAAAGTAAGCTAGTGTATCTCGGAAGAGTGCAATAGTAGATTACTGTGATTACTCGGGAGAGATTTGCAGTAAGATTAGCGTTCGTGATTGATAGAGATGTGTGGGTAAATTTGTATGAGCATAAACAGAAGGGATTCCATCAATAGGGGAAATCATTGCCTTAGCTTTTTCTCATAATTGTTTACAACCTTATTAATTTAGTTACAGCCATTTAGTTACTTGCAAGCTAGTTGTTAAAGAACACTTAACTGAGAATTTGAATATTTGAGAAGCTGGTTCTGAAGACTTAGTGGGTCTGAAGATAGCGGTTGATAGGTTAACTCTCTGTGGTTTCGACCCTGGACGTAATACTCGGGTTATATTTGCAACGTCCGCAGAGTCCTTTTTATAAGGCATAGTTGGGCGTGATCAGATATCATCTACATATACTGCTAGGATAAAAACAAGACCTCCATTCTCTTTGTAGAAAAGAGAATAGTCATTGAGTGAACTAGAATATCCTTTAAAGCTCAAAGCACCTGCAAGTCTGGCATACCACTGTCTGGATGCCTATTTTAACCCATAAAGAGATTTCTTCAGTAAACATACTTGATTTGGTTTAGGTGGAAGAACACCCGCGGGGAATTTCATATAAACCTCTTCCTGCAATTTCCCATAGAGGAATGCATTATTCACATCAAGTTGTGACACTCCCCAACCTTTCTTCACAGCCACAGTCAAAAGGCATCTTATGGTTGTCATCTTCACCACTGGTGAAAAGGTTTCAAAATAGTCAATTCCTTCTCTTTGATTGTCCCCCCTGACAACTAGCCGAGCTTTCAATCTTTCCACAGTCCTATCTGAGTGATGCTTGACCTTGTACACCCATTTACAAGGTAAGGCTTTCTTCCCTTTAGGTAAATCTACCACATCCCAAGTGTGGTTTAATTGTAATGCTGCAATCTCTGCCTCCATAGCTGCTTTCCATCCTGGGTGTATGGAAGCTTGGGCATAGCTGTTAGGTTCAGATATGGTAGAAACTGAGTGAACAAGATGTTGATTGGTGGCAGAAAGAGCCCCAAAAGAGAAGACAATAGGTGTAGGAGGCTGTGTGAAACAAGAACCATTGAGATCAGAAAGAATAATGGCATTGCACACATAGTCCTTCAAATAAGTAGGTCTTTAAGAAATTCTGTCAGATTTTGTGATAGGTGGTGGAGGTGTAGGAATCAGATTTCTGGATATTGGTTGAACAGGTGAATAGGAAGGAGTGTAGGACTCTTCTGGGATTGGTGTAGGGTCAGTTTCAGGATGAAGTGAAGAGTGTGGAACTCTGAGTGAGATATGGCTAGAAACAGGTGTAGAAGCTGTGTAAAAAATAGGAGAATGTGGTGAGGAAACTGTAAGTAGATTGTGTGAAGGAGAATCAGGACTAGGAACTGAAGATGAGGTATAGTTTAGTGCCATATCGGGTATAGGGGTATGATTAGTGGAATCAGAACAAGAAGGAAAGTAGGTGTTGGAATGTGGTGAATGAAAAGGAAAGAAATCTTCATGGAATTTGATGTCCCTGGAAACAAACACTCTTTTTGTGTCTTTGTCCATTACTTTGTATCCCTTTTGACCTTGTGCATAGCCTAGGAAACAAACACTCTTCTTGTATCTTTGTCCATTACTTCGTATCCCTTTTGACCTTGTGCATAGCCTAAGAAGATACAAGCCTTAGCTCTTGGTTCAAACTTTCCTCTATTTTGAGATAGAGTTGATATATAGCATAAACATCCAAAACTTCTTAGAACCTCATATGTAGGTTCCTTCCCAAACAAAACTGCATAAGGTGTCTTCCCTTTCAACACTTTGGAAGGGAACCTGTTGATTAAAAATATTGCAGTTAAAACACATTCTCCCCAATATTGAAGAGGAACCTTGGACTGAAATAGTAATCCTCTTGCAATTTCCAAAAGGTGTTTCCTCTCAACTATCCAATTCTGTTGAGGTGTAGCTACACAAAATGTTTCATGAATAATCCCCTGTTCCTGAAAGAATTTAGATTCCTGTGTTCCCTTTTCCCAATTCCCAAGCATTGTCTGATTTTACTCTCCTTACTTTCTTGTTGAATTGCCTCTCTACCATGTTGAGAAAGGACTTCACGACTGGAAAGGCATTGCTCTTGGTACTTAGTAAAAAGGTCCAAGTGGCCCTACTAGAATCATCAACTATGGTCAAGAAGTAATTGTAACCATTGTATGTAGTAGTGTTAAAAGGTCCCCAAGAATCTATATGAATGAGATCAAATGGAGATGTTGTCCTGATTTGGCTAATGGAAAAAGGGAGCCTAGTTTGCCTTGCCTTAGCACAAATTTCACACACATCATTAAAATTTGAAGGAAAATGAACAAAATTGAATTTCTTCATTACTGAAAAAGGCAAATGCCCCAACCTGACATGCCATTGAATTACATCTGAAACAACATTAGCAAAGACTGGAATAGAAAGAGAAGCTTTACTAGGTACTAGACTGGAATTACTTCCTTTTGGAATGGAAATTACATTTTGACTAAATTGAATCTAGACTCTAAACTTCTAGGCTGGAGTAGATATAATCCATCTCTTACTTCACCAAAAACTTGTCCCCTCCTCATTAAAGGGACCTGCAATAGATATTTACTAGAAGTAAGATTGATGATGCATTTGAATTGAGTGCATAACTTATGAACAGATAGCAAGTTATACTTAAAAGATGGAACATAGAGTACTTTTTCTAGAACCATATCAGGCTGAATGCAAACTTGTCTTATGTGTGTGACAAAGATCTGAAAAGAGTTAGGCAAACTTATATGTAAAGGCACAGGCAAAGGTGACAGTGTTAGGAAAGGTTTGGAATCAAAACACATATGTTTTGAGGCACCTGAATCAATGATCCAGGTTTTAGTATTAAAAACAGCAAGACATGTCCCTAATATTTAAGAATAGTACTAGCAACAGCATTGGCACTAATCTCTGAGTTTCCACTCCCTGTGCTTCCAACTTGCACCTGTTTGATTAAGTTCACCAGTTCAGAGACCTGTTCTTTACTGAAAACTGTGTTTGATTGTTTGAATGTCCTCCATTGTGTTCATCAGAGTTTCCATCACCCTGCTGATCTGCTACTGTAGCATTTGCTTTTATTATTCCTTGAAAATTTCCACCCTTAGTAAACTGGAATTCATCAGGGAATCCTATAAGTCTATAGCAATCAGCCCTCACATGTCCTATTTTTGAGCAATGGCTGCAACTAACATTGGGGTTGAATTTGGACTTCCTTGGCTTGGATTTATACTGTGTGTTAGCTGATTTTTGTTGAGGATTCCACCCTTTTTGTGCTTGGTTATTTTCCTGTGAAAACTTGTTCTGTGTGCCTACCATGAAAGAAGCCTCATTAGTAGGATACTGTGGGCTCATGTAAATCTCCCTTTGACTTTCATCTTGTAGCAATAATGAGTAAGTTTGATCCATGCTAGGGGTAGGACTAAGCATGAGTATGTTTCCCCTTGCTTGTGCATAAGCATCATTCAGCCCCATTAGGAATTGAATGACCCTTTGATCTTCCATGAATTTAGCCATCTTCCTTTTACCATCATAGTTACATGCACAAGTGCACCCTAAGTGTGAGTTAAGAGAGTCCAACTCATCCCAAAGTCTCTTAAGAGTGGTGAAATAACCTGGTATGCTGTTGTTTCCTTGGATTGTCTTTGAAATTTCCTTCTGCAGATGGTACAGCTTGGCTCCACTTGACTGACCAAATCTTTGTTCCAGGCTGCTCCAAAGGTCCTTAGCTGTTCTTGAGTAAATGACACTGTCACCTATCTCTTTTGTCAAAGAGTTCAGCAACCAAGAGGTGACCATGTCATTGCATCTACTCCACAATGGGTAATCCTTGCCATCCATTGTTGGTTCAACACAAGATCCATTGATGAAGCAAAGTTTTTTCTTGGTTGAGATTGCAATGACGACAGATCTTTTCCATCCTGGGAATCCTCTACCATCAAATGGTGAGCTTACCAAAGCCATCCCTAGAGTAGAAGAATGCAAGTGAAGATGGTGATTGGAATCATTTGTTACTCCACTGCTTGTTGATCCAGAGATTGTAACATCAGTTGCAGCTTCTGTTCCAGGCATGATTCAACGCACAGATGAAGATAAAGCTGATTTGGGAAGATTGATAGATATTTGAGAAAATTTGTGAATGGATCGAGCTAAATCTGCTCTGATACCATGAAAGGAAGACTGAGATTTGTGAAAAATTTCTCTTGTTATTTCATTCTTAGTAATCTGTTCTTTATATACAAGCCTATGCTATAGATACAAAGAATGTAAATAATATATTCCTATACACTTGTCCTATCTCCTATTGGCTGATTGTATAACTAACTAACAAAGAATTATTCTTTACAATGTGAGCATGTGCTCACTCACGTGTAGAAGCTTCTAATATTCCTTCATCAGCTGTATTAAATGAATGGCTCAGATTTGCCTTCTCCTTTCAATCCAGCGGTCAATATTAGATCTTAGGATTTTAATATCAACAGTTAATATGCTGACACGTCACATAATCAAAATCTTCAGAATAAGCCCAAAGTTTTCTTTGGAAACTCCGAAGACTTTTATGCTTTCTTCTTCAATGCATCTTCTTCTTCTTCTTCTTCTTCTTCTTCTTCTTCTTCTTCTTCTTCTTCTTCTTCTTCTTTCTTCTTCTTCTCCCTTATATCTTCATCATCCATTAAATTATCATGGGGGTTCTGTTCTTCAACAGGCTGCTTCCATGTCTCGAATACGTAATCTATAGGACAATTCGGTATACAAAACATCCCGCATTACTGGCATTCTTGCTCGGAATTTTCTATATCAACTTGGTATATATATCTTTGTTTCTCTCATGATTACTTACTAAATTGGCATTACTAACTAATACTAATCGGGCAACGCCATTCCCTTTCTATCATTTATATTTGGCTATCTACTTTTTGTGACTTAATTTGTGTCAATTACATGTCTGCTGTCCCATATTTTTTTTTCTTCTCAGATACATTCCCTTTTATATATGCTCTTTTATGTGGAAGTAATATTAGTACCATTTAATTAGGTGCTCAAGATTCTAATTTTTGTATCTAATTAATATTCTGTCGTTAACAAGTATGTGTGTAATTGATTCAAATCATATACACTAACAATATAAAATTTTTTACGTAATGAATGCGTTTAACTAGTAAGTAGTAACAGGTTATTGTATTCTATTTCAAGTTAGCTATGAAAGGCTACATACATGCTAGTGCTATAATAAAAAATTTCATAAATTCAGTAAACAAAACTTAAACTCGTACTTGATTTTCTTAGAAAGGAAATACGAAAAATATATATTGGTCCTTTTTTTGTTCATAACTTAAATTTATAAAATTCCTTAGAAGATGTGCTTCTTATATCGCATTATATATATATATATATATATATATATATATATATATATATATATATATATATATATATATATATATATATATATATATAAAATTTAACTTATCACTAATTGTGAACAAAAGTTTTAATGACAGCTTTTCCACAACTCAGCTTAAACATTTTTTCTTGTTAACCACTCGAGATGGGAAAAGCCAATTACAGAATTTTGACACTGAATCCAGGCTCCAGCTGTTCAAAGTCAAAAAGTTATCACCGTATTGTGCTAAAAAACAAATTCCTAATTAAACTTTTCTTTTTCTGAACTAATAATACCTAACTCTTAAACAATATCTTGTTTACTCGTATTGCAGCCAGAGGCGTAGCTACAACTTATCAATTGAGCACCCTTCTTCAAAAATTACACTATATATATAGGTAAATATTAGCGTTTAGAGATATATAACATATATTGAACACTCTTTTATTGGGGAACTATTTTCACTTCTTTCAAGTTTGAACACCCTTAGGAATATTCCTGGCTTCGCCACTGATTACAGCCCAACAAAATTTGGATTCACGCAGGAAATTCCATATTGAAAAATAAAACGAATCCTGACAAAGGGACTTCATTCCTCAGATTGAAAGATAAGACTGACCCTGACAAAGACGACTTTATTCTTAGAACACTAAATACAAGGTACTGGTCACCTTTCTTTTTGCCTTCCCATGTTACAAGGTACTGGTCACCTTTCTTTTTGCCCCATTTGTACTTTGGACGGCTAGCAATGATGGCCTCGATCCTCCGCCCATCGGATGCCCATCCTTGCTCTTGGCCTGAATCTTCTCATGACTCAACCAAGTCTAGTAGCTTCTCAAGCATCAAGTCCATGCTTCCACTCCCTATTTGGCTACCCTCCGTGGTCCCAGCCTTGCTAGCAAACTTGACCCCTCTACTTGGTGAGTCCGATAGCATGCCATCACTTTGTAACTCGCCATCCACTTCAACTATGTCCGTCCAACTTTTCTTGCTGCCACCATGCTCCATTTGCATGGTGCCAAGATAGGTTTTGAAATCCCCTACTTTCGACTTAGATTCCAAGTGCATCTCTCCAATGCAGGCGATTTCTCCTGTGTCACCCTTATGTGCTTGAGCAAAATTCCCGATAATTGCTGTAAGCTTCCCCAACTCTGGGCATTCACTTTCCCAATGTGATGCTTCACAGAAGTAGCACCCTCCCTTAGGCACGTACTCGCTACCATTTTCCGACCCCTTGCCGTTTCTCTTGGACCCCTGTCCGTTATGGGATGACCCCTAGCCATTACCCTTGTATACCTCGGCTATGCATTTCTCGTTGTCCTCGTCATGATCTCCCTCATCCTTCTCGGCGTTGCCTTCTTTGGATTTGGCAGGCTCCATCTTGAAGTCAACAAGTGACTCGGCTACCCCTATGGGTTCGTTCACGTTGGCTACTTGATGTCTTCTTAACTTCTGCTTTGCTCAATTTTGCAACCCATCCATGAAGTAGAGGAGGGAATCTTCCTCGGACAATGACATGATTTGCAGCATTAAGGTAGTGAACTCGCGCACATACTCCCGAATTGTGGCCTATATCGGAGCTCCCTTAGCTTCCGCCTAACCTCATACACCACATTCATCGGGTAGAATTGCTTCTTCAACTCCTTCTTGAACTGCTCTCATGTCTCCATGTTGCATAGCCCTTCTTTCCATGTTGGCACACTTCCGACGCCACCCTAGCACGACAACCTCAGTCAAATACATTGAGGCATTGCAACGTCGTCATCCTCCCCGACTACCTCAAAGTACTTGTCCATCCTCCAAAGTAAGTCTGCCGCCTCGCGTGCGTCCCGTGCACCGCCATACTGCTTTTGCTTAGGGACCTTCACGTTGGTCCCTTCTGCAAGTACCAAGCCCTTGGTAATTCTGACCATGGTTCTCTATAAAACTTCCTTCTAGCAATCTCTTGTATTCTTTCAAACATTCCTTAGTCTCTCTCTATATATATAAAAAAAATCCCATGTACGCAGAACGTTCATTGTTACTTAAATGCATGTCATACCTAGTGGCCAAAACGCTAAATAGATGTAATAAAACCAACAAAATTTAAAATATTAGATGATTTTTCCCATCTATCTAACTTTTAGTAGGTAAAGTTACTTGCTATCTACCTTGGTAAGAGATAGCAGGTATTTACTGAAACAATCGAAATGCACATGATCTAGCGCGAATACTGTCGTAATTATTTTGGAACAAAAAGGAAAAATTAAGGTGTGGTGTTTGCAAAATTGGTCCGTCTAAAGATAGTGATTCAAAACTTTGTGTGGCTAAAACTACACTACTAACTCACATTATCTGAACTGAGACGTGGTCAACTGTTTTTGGCATATTGGAATTTGTGGGAAGATTTTTTTGACACCTTGAGGTTACAAACCTAGTGGAAAATTTTACCGCAATAACAACAACAACGACGACAAACCTAGCGAAATCTCGCAAATAGTGTAAATGTAAACTTTATCCCTACCTTATGAAAGTAGAAAGACTATTTCCAATAGATTCTCGGCTGAAGATTTTATACATATGCTGGTGGGAGAGATCGAAGTATGTGCAAGTTGGCACGGACACCACGATTATTAAAAAAAATTGGTTCAGCATATTAGAATGCGTGAGAGATTTTTATATCAATAAGTTGGGCATAATAACCTTGGAAAAATTAATTTTGCTAAAAAAAATCGATAATCCTTGATAAGAATCAGAGATTCATGTCTCTTATGGTCCGGCCCTTTTCCGGATTCAACATATAGCGGGAGCTTCGTACATCGAGCTAATTTTTTTAGAGATTCATGTCTCCATTTGGAGAGACAACGTTATTCCAATGTCATCAAGTGAAATTAGCACATAATCTGGAATCTTATACTTCTCTAACATAGTTGAACCCCAAGTTCAAGATGCTGCAAAACTCGACATATATTAATTTATACTTACGTTTGGTTGCAAAAGTCCCCTAACAATGTTCTCCTCAGCTTGTTCTAAAATATCCCCAAGCCACCAAACATAATATTCTAAATTCTTTGTATGAATCATCAAAATGACTCTCCAAACATCTTTAATCAATTATTGAAGATCATCCAGTTCCCTAATATGCAATTTGCGGACCCGCTTGATTTGGAACTAGTTAACGATTCATTAAACATCTCGACGGTGGCAAAGCTAGGAATTTCCCAAGTGTATTCAAATCTGAAAGAAATCAAAAAAACTTTTCGACAAAGGGAGTTCAATATGTATTATATACCTCTAAAAAAATGTTGTATTTTACCTATATACACAGTGCAATTTTTCGACGGAGGTTATGACCATGTGGCTTCGCCACTGCATCTCAGGATCTTCCACAATAAGCTCATACTATTCGGGATCGTATAGGTATATATTGCCAATATCATACAACAATAATTACATAGTCAATGAATTCTCATAAGTACAGAGTCCGGAAAAGGTAGAATGTAGAACTTACACCTATCTTGTGAAGGTAGAGAGGCTGATTTCGTAAATTGTCAAGACCATAAGTGTGAAAAAACTAGCTAAAAACACATAAAATTGTGAAAGATAAGAGGAAAAGACTAATAATTTCTCATGCTTAATTAAAGCAAATAAGGTTAATAAAGTGATCAAAATCAAAGTTTGCCCACCGTTAAAAACATAGGTCTCCAAA